ATTTTTATATTCTTGGATGTAAGAAATATCACTTTGCATTGGGGTTTGAGATGTATCTTTTTTTTTTTTTTTTTTTTTGAAAAGAGATAACTTTGGTAAATTCTTTTAATTTCACCAAAAATAAAAAAAAATAATAAAAAAAAAGAAATAAAATAATTATTATAATAAAAAAATAATAAAAAAAAAAGAAAAAAAAATGGGAAAAAAAACTTAATTAAATTTTTATTTTTTTCATTTTTCATTTTTTATTTTTTTTTTATTTATTTTTTACCTTAAAACCCAATAACAAGAACAGTATAAGTAATAAATAATAATAGTCAATTTATATTTATTATAGTTTAGTTAATAATATTAATAATAAAAATAAACAATTTTATTATTTTAATAAAACAAAAAACATTCATGAAGAAGTATTTTTATTTTGATCCATTTAAAATATTATTATTACAAAATTAAAATTTAAACACAAAAATAAAGAAATGGACGAGGAGAATTATAGTTACCAAATTCAAGAAATTGAAGTTTTAAAATCAATTTATGGAGAGGATTTATTTTCAGAACAGTTAATTAATGATAAACATCAATCACATGATGTTGGCCAACAAGAATGCAGCAATGATAGTGATGATAGTGATGATAGTGACGGAAGTGACGAGTTTAACTCATTGTCATTAGAAGAGCAACATATTAGTAAAAAATCTTTCAATGTAAATATTTCATTTTATATAAAAAATTTTAAAAAAAAACCAAATACTAATATATCATATTTATGATTTACAGATTAAAATTTCAATTGATATTCCAAAAGACTTTCAAATTATTGTGAAAGAGGACCAAGAAAACAAATACACACAATCAATTTTGTGTTTACCAAACATTAATTTATTATTTAGTTTCCCAAGTGAATATCCTTCAAATAAACCACCAAAATTATTCATTTCATCTTGTTGTATGTTAAAAAAAAAAATTCATTAGATTGGAAAAAAAAACGAAAATATATATTAATTTTATTTTATTGTTTTTAGGGTTAAGCTTAGGAAATATGAATTTAGTTTTGGAACATTTATATTCAATTTGGGAAAAGGATGAACTTGTTATTTTCAAATATGTAGATTGGTTAAAAACAAATTTATTGCAATTTTTACAATTTGAAAAGGGTATTGTTTTAGATAATGAGCCAGTTGATTTTGAATCAGCATTATGGAAAAATGTTGGTTGGGATCATGACCCTTCCTGGGTATCATTGTTATCAGCATTACCAACCTTAAGATCTTATAATTCACACGAAGGAAGAAGATTATTCTTATTGAATAGCCAAGTATGTTCAATTTGTGACTATGAAGGTTGTGGTCAAGAGTTTACCTTGTTCAATTGTCTTCATCATATCTGTAATGATTGTGTTTCAAATATAGTGTAACGTATACTAATAATAATAAATCAATCAAAGAATAATAGTTTCTAATTTATTTTATTTTTTTATAGTAATATTAATATAAAATCAAATGATTTTTCATCAGTCAAATGCCCAGAACTTAAATGTAAAGAATCATTTGATTTAGAAGTAGTAGAGAAATTCATCGAAAAGAAAGAGGATCTAAAGAGATATGAAGATTATTTAAAGCAATCTAAAGGTTTGGTTAGATGTTTACGATGCGAAAGAGGTTGGAGTCACGTGGACCATCTTACAAGATCAACTTATTGTACTTCATGTTACTATTCATTTTGTATTGTATGTAGAGGTCCTTTCCATCCTGGTGTAGCATGTAATTTTACAAAAATTGAAGGTGCAGTTTTATCAAAGTTTTATATTGGTCAATTAAGAGTTTGTCTTTGTGGTGCATTAATTGAAAGAATTTCTGGCTGTAATAAGATGACTTGTTCAGTGTAAGTGTTTTAACGATCATTATTATTTTGTTGAAGCTATAATTGTGTGTGTTAATATTAATAATTATAAATTTATTTATTTAGATGTAATACCAAGTTTTGTTGGTTATGCTCAAAATCGAATATCGATTATGATCATTTCGGTAAGAAATGTCAACTATTCGAAATTCCAGGTGAAAGAAATAGGGGTGGCGGTGGAAACAGGGTTGGTAGAAATATAGGTGTGGTAGATGCATCAACATCATGTAGCAAGTGTAGACAAATTGTATATAGACATTCAAATACCAATTCAGTCTATTGTCATGGATGTGATGCACGTTATTGTTTCTTGTGTAAAGTTCAAATCAAAGGAACACGTCATTTTATTCAAACTTCATGCACCCAGAACGGAAAGCCTGATAGTTGGAAAGCTGATAGAACCTATAAATTCTATGGCGGAAATGAAACAGCACCAGAGCCAATATATATCAACCAAGATGTTAGACACCAACTGTTTAGATAATATCAAATTAGGTGTTTTTATAAATTTCAATCCAATAAACATTTTTTTTTTTTTAAATTAAAATTTTATTATATTTTATTTATATTTTTATTTATGTTCATCTAATAAGGTTTTTGAGGATTGATTTAAAGCTTTGATTGCCATTAATAAGGCACCTTCTCTAGTTTTATTACCACCAATGAAACCATTAGCATGACAAAAAACACAACCTTCGATACCTGAAATTTGTGAAAGTTCTTCGTCTCTTTTGCCTCTCCATTCTTCTGGGAGTGAAAGTCTATTTGTAAATGAATGTAAATTAATACTAACAGCGCCAATTCTCCATTGACCTGATGTATCTTCAAAAAGAACAAATTTAATTGGGGTTTTAATTTCTTTTTCTTGTTCTAATGTATATAAATGATCTTTCCATGGACAATACATTTCTAAAACAATAATTTCGCCTGATGAGTGAATATTTTTTCTATTATCGATTGAATTTTCAACAATTGATCTGCATGGTAACCAAGACTATATTATAAAAAAATATATTGTTAATAAAACATATAATAGATATTTATAGGTTATATACATAATAATAATAATAATAATAATAATAATAATAATAATAATAATAATACTTACTTTACCATAATAATCAAGGCAATCTAAAAAGTAACTACCCATTAATTCCATAGCTTTTTCAAATTGAGTGAAAACTAAATCGTCGTCTTGTGGTTCATTCCAAGCTGGGTTTAATCTTCCTACTCTTGAGCTGATGGATGAGTTTGATTGGTATTTTGGTTTGACATCAGATGGATATCTTTCAACACCATTATCAACACCATCTAATTCTTCAATGGTATTATCATAAATTTTGTTGAATAATAATTCTGTAACAGATTCATTTGTATTTAAACGATTTTTAATAATAGTTTTACCAAAATTTTTATAAATTAAACCTGCACTTGAAAGTTTGGTCAAATGTTTATCGTCAAAAGTTTCTGTGAAACCAGCTTGGTGATGGTCAAATCTAAGTTTTTCTAAATCGTAAACTGCACCAACATCAACAGCAACGGTTGATGCATCAATAACTTTTTTATCTCTAGATCTAACAATTTCTAAAATTATAGATATTAATTAATTGTTATATTTTAGATATAATACATATGTATTTAATTATAATTACTTACTGGCGTCTTTATAAGTTGGGACTAATTTCAACATGTAACATGCTAAGGCTTCATCAGCATGGAAGCTACCAGAGTGGGTACAGATAGTTAATGATTCTTGTGACATTTTTGATAAAAATAGACTACTACTGCTAAAAAATCGACGAATCATGTGATTAAAAAAAATAATTAAAAAAAAAAATGAAAAAATTTAAAAAATGAAAAAATTAAAAAAAATTAAAAAAAAATAAAAAGAAAATAAAATAAGATAAATAAAAAAGTAAAATAAACTTTAAAGTTGGTTTTTTGATTAAAATAATAGTTTAAATAGTAAAAATACCAATTCCATTATTGTATTTATTATATTAATAAAATTTAAAAAAAAAAATTAAAAATATACTATTTTTTATTTTTGGTTGTTTGATTGTTTGGTTGGTTGGTACTATTGTTTTAAATTTAAACAGAGTTAATTTCTTTTAATTTTGAGTCTGTTAATTTTGTAATATTGCCAACATAGTCGTCAATCATTTTTTGGATATTTTTTTCTAAAAGTTTTTCGTCATCTTTTCTTAATTTGTAATTCTTTAAGCTGTCCATGGCATCTTTTCTATGTCTTCTAATTGAAACTTTGGCATCTTCGGAAATTGTATTTACTTGTTTAATTAATTTTTGTCTTAAATCATTAGTTGGTTTTGGTAATGAAACTTTAATAACAGTACCACTAACTTGTGGCATTAAACCTAAACCTGCAGTTTGAATAGCTTTTTCGACATTTTTAACAAACTATTTCATAATAGAAATAATATTTTTATTAATATTCTATTTGTTTTTAATTGATTGATTGGTTGGTTGGTGGTTGATTGATGGATGGATGCTTGGTTTTATATACTTACTGAGGTATCATATAAAGTAATATTTAATGTTAATGGATCTTTGACAGTAACCATAGCAATGTGTGGTAATAATAAATTGCCATTTGGTGTTTCTACATTAATACGATCTAAAAGTTCTGGACCAGCACGACCAAAACGAATATTTCCATATTCTCTAGAGATATAATCTAATGTTTTCATGGAGGCTTCTTGATAACGGGAAAGATCGATATCTTTCCAATTTGTAAATGGAGTATCATCTTCTTTGCCGCCTTTACCACCTTTACCACCTTTGCTACCACCTTTTGCTCTGGTAATGATTACTGATGTATTTTCATTTAAAAAACTGAGTGAACTTCTTCTTGAAACAATTCTTGATGGATTGGCAGAAATATTGAAAATACCTCTAACAATTGTTCTATTTCCTGTGACTGAATTTAATGAAACACTTGAACGTAAAATATTTGAAGTTTTATTTAATCCTCTAATCATTTTTTTTTTTAATTTAATATCTTTTCGTAAAAACAATAAAAATAAAAAAATTAAAAAAAAAATTTAAAAAGAAAAAAAAAAAAGATTTTTAAAAAAAAAAAAAAAAAAAAAAAAATTATTTATAAGCATTGACATCCAGTTTTAAAAATTAATAGAACTAGAAATAGAAGATATTATATTATTTCTTTTTTTTTAAATGTATAAAATTAGGGTTTTTATTATATTTAAAAAATATTAAATAGTTGATTTCTAAATAGTGGGGCTGTATTTAATATATGAAAAAAATTAAAAAAAAAAAGGAGACATATTTCTTTATTTTATTTGAAAAAAAAAAGAAAATAAATTGACACAAACTCTGATATATATTTATTTTTTAAAAGCATTATTATTTTTAAAATGTATTTGATATTTAAATAAAAATGTACATTTTTAATTATAATAGTTTATTATTTTTATAATTATTTTTATATTTTTTTTTTATTGTATAAAAAAAAAAAAATTATAATGAAAAAGAAAAAAAATAATAAATAAACCAATGATAAATAATAAAATTAAAAAAAAAAGTAATTAACATATTTTTATTTACAGTTATTAATTTAAAAGACCATTTCGAAACTGTATTAATTTTTCTTTTGTAAAAAAAATATTTTTTTTCATAATCATGCAGTTCCTGATTTTCTTTTTCCTTAATGAGTAAAAACTATTTAATTTCAAATAATGAATCTAAAAGACAAAAAATGCATTGTGTGAGAAAACCCCTACTTTCTTTTTTTAATCATTTTTTTTTTTTTTTAATTTAAATTTTAATTTTATATTTTTTTTAATTTTAATTTTTTTTTTTTAATTTTTTCATAGCTTGAAATAAATTTTTAATTTTTTTTTCTTCAATATTTTATCAACATACAAATAATTTTATAGCTTTATTTTTAATAATTGCAATAATTTTTTTTTTTTTTGATAAATAATAAATAACTTCCATACAGTAATCAAAATCACCACTCATTGATAATTCATTTAAATAAAAAATGGATTATTTATATTATTTTTGTGTTCTTATCATTGGTTGTTCACTTTTTTATATTTTAGATCATTTAAATAACAATGACACCAACAACACAAATACCAACACCACAAACACAAACACAAACACAAACACAAACACAAACACAAACAACAACATCAACACCTACACCAACAACATCATTTCTGCTCGTTTGTTCATCCAACAATACCAAGAATTTTTAAGAAATCAACAAGAGCAAGATGAAATGTATAAAAGACAACAAAATCAGGAGAAAGCTTTCTTACAACAAGAGAAAAAGAGAAAGCAAGAAGAATTACAAAAAAAACAAGAGTCTAGACAACAACACGAGTTTATAGACCAAATGGAGCTCCTTAGAAGACAATCACACCAACAACATCAACATCAACAACAACAACCCACTCCAACTCCACAACCAACCCCAACTCCACCAAAACCAAAACCAAAACACTCTGCATCAACCCCTGGTATTAGATTACTATTTCAAAGAATGCAGGAATTCGAACAACAACAACAAGAAGAAGAAGACCAACAACCACCACAACCACCACAACCAACATCAAAACCAACTACAAAAACAAAATCAAGATCAAGAGAAAGATCAAAACATACCCCACGTCCATTACCAACACCAATACCAAAGTCAAAACCAAGACCAACACCTCATTCAACACCCAAACACAAATAAAACC